AAAACTGATGTAATACTAATTTATTAAGTGTTTTTATACTGAATGAACATAAGCAATACAGTTTGTTGTTTGGCTCGTCATACTTTAAACTCGATGTATAAAATAGCAATCAGCATAAAAACTACATAGTACACCACCCAAGAATAAAAATATAAGTTTAAAACTGACATCGACTTATCATTATTTTTGGATCAATCAACCAGACCATCACTCAAAAACTTAAGCTGAATAAACAAAAACAAATAAACAACAAAAGTGGATACTCTACGTAACATAATTTTGTAAAATACGAAAAGCTTATTATTCATTAATGAACTTCTTTGAATGTCATTTGCATCTTGGTGTATTGTACTCATGTCTATTGTCTAACACGTCCTTGCCTGATTAAATTATCAATCTAGCTAATGTTGCATATTAATATGGATGTATTAACTAACTAGCTTGAGTGGGTACAGAATATCATTAAAATCTAATTTAAAGCCTGGACAAATGCTTTACAATTGCCAGAACAATATGTACCCTTGACTAAAACTGGTGAAATATAACTACAAAGATTAAGCTATTATATATACAAAATGTTGCCAACGTTTTAAAACAACGTAGTAAACTACTTTGAGGTTATGTTTACTCTTGTATCCACACATTGTTAATTATTATAAGCTGATGTCAGTTAAAAATTCATTACAGTACAGCGAAAAAAATAATACGCAATGAAACCCCATTTGATTAAGCAGGCGGCAAACAGCTGTTTTCTTAGTTTTCTTTTCTTTTCTGTTTGCTTATCGCATGTTAGTGTTTTATAGAAACCAACAGCGAAATCAGCAGATTTCGCAAGTGAGAATGAATAAAGTGGAAATGAGCTTTTTTGCGCACTGTTTGCAGGTGTGGCTATTTGATCGTCTCCAGAGTAGGAAAAATCGTTAAATATTGATTGAAAGTCCTTTACCTTATATACGAGGTCCTGGAACCGTGACGACGTGTGCCAACCATAGCTCTTCCCGTCTGAGTCAGAAACGTCATCTACAGGTCCTGAGTCCACCCTCCTCGGTCCGTCCCCCAGCACCAGACTGTACCGGACTCTGCATTGGTGGTCGAACCCGGTACATCTGTTGAGGTACACCGACACTCGCCCGTCTGGAAAATAAACACAATTAGCAAACTTCCATACTTTCTCTCATTAGCAACTTTTATCATAGGCAAGTGGTGAAAGTAACTATATTTTTTGGAGAAAATTAATTTTTAAATTCGCAATAAATGTTAACCACTATTAGTACAGCAATGTGGGTTGGAAATTTTTTTTCAGTTAAAAGCACGTATCGTACAGAATTTAAAAATAAATTTTTCAAGCCATTTATATGAAAATAAGATTTTTCCTTTATTTCATGGGTTTTGTGGGAACATCGTCATTAAAACGTTTATACCAAGTGTCATCAAATTGGGCCTCATGTGTAGCACGTAGCTCACATCTACACACACGTACAGACATAATTTCGAAAACCACTTTTGGGGTTCAGGGTGATATTTTTACCGAAAACTCAATCACCAACATTTTGACGAAAACAGTACGTGTACGAAAACAGTAGTGTGAGAAAGTAAAAAAAAATGTAAACGATTTATTTCTATTGTTTAACACTCTATTTATATTTTATTTCTTTGAGGTAATGACAAGTGTGAAAAATCATATAAGTAATTAGGCCTACTTGGATGCTGATGAAACTGATCCTTAAGAATAAACACAGTAACATCATAATAAGAAAAGAAGAAAGGACTTTTTTAAGATAGCAGTGATTACTTGTATTTTTACCATATTGAATAATCGACACCATTAGTATTGTTTTTGTCTTTAAAGGAACTGTCTTTGGTCTTAATACTGGTAAATATTGACCTTTTGTTAAATTGCACCATTAATTTACAGCCATACAGATGCAATGAAGTGAAGAAAACGGGGATGTCAATATATGAGCTTGTTGTTTTTCTAAAATGTGTCTCACGTGCTTATTTATAATTGTTGGTGTGTTTGGCGACTGGCGTTTTGCAGTCCAAACGAACTATGAGACGGCAATAGATTATTCCATATATGAAAAATTCACTAAATAGACAAACAATAATTGCAAACAATATCACATTGTGTAACAAAACCACTATTTTTGATCCACAGAATAGTTATTAATTCTATTGTTCCATTGTAATTTTGTCTGGCGTGTGATAAATGGTGCTAATAATTGAAACGGATTTAATTGTTTCGTCGAGAATGGAAATGGTTTCCACACTGACGCCCAATGAATATGTGACTTAGGAGTGTACATGTTCGGTTTAACAGGCTATGTAGCGTACAATCATAGATAGAACATACTGTCTGAGTAAATTTCTGACCCTTATTGAACAGCTGAAGATTATTGTTATTGTACGATGTACTGCAGAGGTCGTGTTTTGTTTACAATTTGTTTCTTAGTTATTTAAGTCTATTAAAACCTCGTATGAGTAAATAACACAATCTAATCGTAAACAATAACTCATCTCCTAGTTATATAACCAACAGTAAAGTAATATAAACAAAATTTCGTCGATACTAGCGCCCAGTGTCACCAATGGCATGAAAAGTCCACTTGTTAGGGTAAGTCTATAGTACAAGTAATAAACTTTAACAAAGTAATTTGATTATTTTCTATATTCATAAGAATTGAGTTATTGTAATGTCATAAGCTCTCATTCTATTATTCTTGATGATTGGAAAGAGCATGACCTGACACTATTCTTATTTTACAGGTGGTATGTATACAGAATAAACATTAATGTTCTGTAAAATTAAATTTACGATTTTTATTTTTTTTTACTAAAATATGTAACAAAATAACATAATTTTTTTTTATTGGTTTGAATTTGATTTTAATACTGCTATTTTTTATTGAACCCCAAGTAGCTCAAGTAAATCAAAAATAAACATGCAGGAATTTTGTGGAGGTATAATATCGCAATGGGTGAGTATATTCACATACCAACGATTTTTAGGATTCCGAAAGTAACAATCAATAAATAAATGATTTATATTGCATTAGACATATAAATAAAAGTGTATATGTTACAGTTTTGAATGACCAACCAACTGTTAACCTCTTATCGATATATCGACTGATTGCAGGGTTCCAATAGTAACAATCGATACATAAAATGTTTATATTACAATATACATGTAAATCAAAGTCTATAGGTTACAGTTTTATAATGACCAACCACCTGTTAACCTTTTATCGATATATCGACTGATTGTAGGGTTCCAATAGTAACAATCGATACCTACATATTTATATTGTAATAACGTATAAATAAAAGAGTATTCGTAGTTGAAGTATGACCGACTGTGTGGTGCTCTATCGATATATCGACCGACACAGTAGGATTCCGATATCACCATCATTACAACGGTGTTTTAATCACTACGCTTATCCACCACTAAATCGCGTTGCAATCAGTACACAATTACTCAAACCACGCCATGCGGTTGGTGTTCGTGTTTCTCTGTTTAAGTTGCATATGATGAATTAAAGTTTTCGGGTATCATTTTATAAGTAACGATGGACGTGATCTTTAATTAGAAATTATAAATCAACCATCTGTAATGATGTTAAAACCGTGATTTCGGTTTTTAATACCTTCTAACATAGAGCAACTTGTATTAGATTAAACATGGTAACCTTTTATCTAAAGCAAAGAGTTTAGAATTATAAAATGTCAACTAAAATAATACAGAAAATTATTTTGCTTCAAAAATTCTGTTCTGTTTTTTTTTAGAATTTCACTGTTTTAAGGTGGTTATTGCTGTATTACCGATCCAACCGTTAGAGCAAGAGATAGGATGGGTTTGGGTTAACAATCCAAAACCAGTTGTTTTGGTAGTTGTATATAACATATAATGTGCAAATGCACTAATTCATCATTGAACCAATGTAAAAACCGTGCCTCAAAAAAACAAAAACATATAGTCTAATAACACTTGTAATAATATATTTACACTTACTTATTCTGTTGACTCACAAGAAGGTACAACGTAAAGATGGTATGCTGTGATCGATTTAAATTGTACATTCCGAACAGCATCAGACCCAATAGGCGAATCACCTATCACGGGATTGGATTGAGGATTGGAGTGTCAAATCGAAATCGATCACCACTTACCATCTGTTATATGTATTTACCTTCTTGTGAGTCAACAGTATAAGTTTAAATGTATACAAGTGTTAATCGACGTACATATATATTTTTTATGTAATTTAATAACATATACGATGCTGATCAAGAAGATATCATTGGTGCATTCATTATTAACATATATTGCTACGGAATTATTTAAAACCCTAAACAACTAACCTTGTGTTCCATGTTATCTTTATAAAAAATGTGTTAACCTTAGACTACGATTGGAATTTTTATAATTTCATATAACGCTTTCAAATTGAAATTGATGTTTTCAAATTTCCAAAGATAAAAGTCAAAAATTCAATATAGGAAATGAGTTTACTATCACAAATTATATGAGGTTTTTAATCCGAAATAGTCAAAATCACAAATAATTATGTTAAAAACTAGGCTAGTTTTATACCCCGATTATTATCAACATTGCAAAACACCTGTAAAACCTACAAATACACCAATATATGTAGCTTAGAAATTTACCTACCATGGATATCCTTTATTCCATTAGGGTAGAGTGCGAGGTTCCAATCGAAACCACCATAAGTGAAGTAAGTGGTCTCCATCTTGTTGGTCTGGGGTGGGTTTTTGGCGGGGTTTTGGTGGTGATTGCGCGGCAAGTGGTGGCCGAAGATGCTGCTGGGAACGCGGAAGTCTGTGTCGAACATAGTTCTGACATGTCCCATGCTCAGCTCCAGCTGGAACTCGCCGTTGTGGTCGGCAAAGTTGCGGACGTAGAGTTCACTGACGGCGATGTAGTTGCGGTTACCCTGCGCCGGGCATTCTGTCGTAAACTTGACCTGGAAACAAGGGAAGTAGTTTAAAATTTTTACTTCTCTGTGGTACATTGTTCTAAGATGAACAAAACTGTCTCAGCTTCCTATTTAAATAAATCATCTGTGTATAGTAGTTAATAAATATATGGGTGGTCAGTGGCTCAACTATTTGAGGAACAGTCATCGATCCGCTCTACAAAAAGATACATATTTTGTAACTGTGGTTTACAACACCTGCATTTTATACTAATCCTTAATGCTGTAGAGGCAACTAGCTCCAGATTTTTGTCGGAACCATCATCAGGCCTACAAGGTGTCAAGTAGTCACCTAATTTAAAGTAGCCAAAAGAGTTCAATATATAACATACACATGAGTCATGGGAACATAAACGGACATACTTTTACATGAATCACGAGATAAACTATGGTACTATTATAGAGATATATATAATAGAGATATATTATACTATTATGGTGGTATTATTATTATTTTTCTCTGCTTTTTGTGAATTGTGAGAATGCATGCATGCATGGGCGTTTCACAGTGAATGAGAGGTTATGTTCGTTCGGTCAAACCAAACGACTAAAGTTTCAGGTTTTTTTTTTTGTTCTTCTTTTTGTCAGTCAGCTCAGCTCGGCCGGCGCTGCCAGTGCCAGTCTGCTGTGCAAACAAACAAACAGTTCAAACATGGTCTACGAACCATGAAAAACAAAGAGGACCAAATATGAGCAATCCAAAAGAATTCCGTAGATTATAAAGAAATATTTATGTCACTACATTTTAGATTTTTTAGTGTGCTGCCAACTACTTTGTTTTAAGTTAAAGTGCCTGCCACAAACCGCCGTAGAAATATAGGACATTAAGAAATCTTTGTTCAAAAAAAGAAAAAAAAATGTAAATTATTTGTTTGTTAGCCTTATTGTATCAATTGGACCTCACCGACAAGTTTTATAAACTTGGTGAGGCCAAGCTGTTGTAATTTTCAGAATAAATATATTTGTATTTGTATTTGTATTTGTACATTTACAAAAGTGAACGTGACATTGAAGTTAGGTCTTTTTGACTACTTTCAAACTATGTGACTACTTGACTTGTAGACCTGCGGATGGCTCAGAGTAAGAACATAAACTAGTGTCTAGTACAGCAACTAAGAAGTACGGTACTATATGGAGGTATTGCAAAAATGTTTAACCATTATACAATAATTCAGGGGCTAAACAACTATTGAAAATGCAATAGCTTTTTATGGTGATAAAAGCTCTTTAAAATTAGGTCCAGTCCTTGGTCACTGGGCTTTAATATATTATCATGGCTAAAGACATAATCAGTTTATAATGAATATTAACAAGGCGTATGCCATTATTGTCATTCATTTGATATTCATCCTTCGCTTAGCTTCACGTTTTGTGAATCTAATAAATAACAGTTTGTCCATATTCAAAGGTAAACAAGATATCTTCCATAACTTTTTCACCAAATCATCTAGATAATTTATAATTGACACACCAATTATTGTAATACCATACTTAGTGATATGTTAATAGTATGTTAAGGATGATATTTCTTGAATTTGAATAATACAGTGCAGATTTATAGCCATAAAATGTATAGATGTATAATTAATGCATTGAGTATGCTAGATAAAGTTGGCAAACTTCATTTTAAGTTATGACTTAACAACGTAGCTATAAACTTTGCAACTTGCTGATGAAGAAATCTATACGAAGTTATAATGCTCTTTACACCCTTTTTAGCTTTAAACTAATACGTCGGAATGTACATTACACTTTTTTTATAAAATGCCAAATCTTATAAATATTATTTCATCTCTTATTGAGTTGTTTAAATGATAATGCTCTCAATTATCTTTCTAAGATCAGAAAGAAAACAGCCAAACCAATTAAATTAATTCATATAACATCCACCTGTTTTCCGGAGAACGCCTCATTGTAGCTGAAGTGATCTCTGTTTAGAAGGGTGAAGGTGAAGTCTACATACACCCTCATGGCGTCTGAGGTGCTTCTCCATACCAGGTACACGCCCAGCACTTTGTCTGTGCGGGAAAATGTGATCGCCCATCTTTGATGCCCGCAGGAGAACTCCTGTTAAATTAAATGGTATTAGTAATCTGACACTTACTTTCTCCTATCCTCTTACAACAACCCTTAAGCGGTGGGAATGAGTACTATAATGGTATGCGTAAAATCGAAAGATTTGCAAAGAGTTTTGAATTGTAATTTTACAGCAGTTGGGGTTGTACCATTTTGATTTGGGTTAAAAGGACTAAAACATACTAGATGTTAGTGCAAATCTTTCTAGTAGTTTCTTGAGTATTCATTTTTCTACGGGAAAATCACCGCAAAAAATAAGTGTGGTTTGTAGCTATTTACCCATCACCATACACAAACTCAACAGTTGGTCGGGATTGTACTCGCGCGCCGTGCGCGCGCCGGACATAGTGTGAAAGGACCAGGAAAGGGCTCATACTCCCATAGCCCTACGCCGGATCCGGCGGGCGCCTCACGGCGCGCGGCGCGTCGTGTGAAAGAGGCTTTACTGAGAGAGGCTTACTGAGTAACATTCTTTGAGTAACATCGGAAGCGAGTTGCATAATTCACCTAAGTGATGTAAAATCGCTCTTGTGTAACGTACAAGATTTTACCTGACCTGACAAAATACAGGGGGTTACGTATAATATTTTTCATTATCCATTTCACTCATATTCTAACAGCAAAATTCTTTTACGCACAAAAGCAAGGTTAGGAAAATACTTTAAGGCATAACAATAACATTCAAGTGCACATCTTATTTCTAGAGTTGAACGTCGTTGGCTCCATAGAGGTATATTTTATTAAGTTGAGCAATCAATGTTATTTGAATAGGTTTTTTATTACTTCACCGAGTAAGTTTTTGAAACTTCACTTCAATGAGTGAAGTAAAGAAGTTGTTTACATCACGCTTGAGACAGGGAAGTTTAACATGGTGGGTTAGGTCAAAGCTATAAAGCCTTTAGACATCCATACAGGTATTTGGAACTATTCAACTGACCTTGGATGTGATATCTCTTTCCAGGTCACGCGTGACTGATTTAGTAACTATGAACGTGAACACATGAGTGTCTGCGCGGTCCGGGATCTTGACAAACCTGTAGAGCAGTGCCATTCCGCTATCGTAGCATCATCACATCTTTCTGCAACAAACAGTACACAAACATTACGTTACGCTTAACTAGGTCATGCCTCATAGATTTAGTAACTAACTATGAACGTGAACACATGAGTGTCTGCGCGGTCCGGGATCTTGACAAACCTGTAGAGCAGTGCCATTCCGCTATCGTAGCAACATCACATCTTTCTGCAACAAACAGTACACAAACATTACGTTACGCTTAACTAGGTCATGCCTCATAGATTTAGTAACTAACTATGAACGTGAACACATGAGTGTCTGCGTGGTCCGGAATCTTGACAAACCTGTAGAGCAGTGCCATTCCGCTATTGTAGCAACATCACATCTTTCTGCAACAAACAGCAAACAAACATTACGTTACGCTTAACTAGGTCATGCCTCGTAGATTTAGTAACTATGAACGTGAACACATGAGTGTCTGCGCGGTCCGGGATCTTGACAACCCTGTAGAGCAGTGCCATTCCGCTATCGTAGCAACATCACATCTTTCTGCAACAAACAGCACACAAACATTACGTTACGCTTAACTAGGTCATGCCTCGTAGATTTAGTAACTATGAACGTGAACACATTAGTGTCTGCGCGGTCCGGGATCTTGACAAACCTGTAGAGCAGTGCCATTCCGCTATCGTAGCAACATCACATCTTTCTGCAACAAACAGCACACAAACATAAAATCTTTCCGCAAACAAATACAGTAGAAATCATACATTATTCAATGTCTATCTATGTCACATTTCACAGATCTTGTTAAAATAAACGTGAACATAAACTTTTCTGCTTCGTCTGTTATATGTGCGAGCTTGTAGTGAATTACTATTTTTTTATTGTTGTAGCAACATCGCATCCTAATGCACCAATCACCTCATATCTATTTAGGTTAGAACATAAAATCACACCATTTTCAACTCCTAAAGAGTATGTATAGATTATTATGTATTGTCTATCAATGTATATCTATACAATTAGTCAAATCAACGACTCGTATTTCATCAACAAACAATACAAACTTATATATTATGTGTATTACGTCTAGCTCGATTTAGATTGTGCTATTTAGCTTATGATATATGATTAAATCCTACAAATATTCAGTGAAAAAAATTCTACGTGTTGTACATCTAATTACCATTAAAAATACCATACACGTGTGTTTTTCTTTATCTCTTTAAAAATAATGGTGCAGGGGAATGGTGCGGAGGCCTACAACCACGCGAATGTAGACAAACACTAAAAGACTAAAATGTGTTTTTACAAAAATAAGGATGGTGGTATATAGATTTATAGAAAGCTATTAAACTTGAAGAATTCAAAAGGATAATAGGTGTTCATTGTAAGAAACTAGAAGGATGAGTAAAATATTCAGATTGTAAAATTATAAAATGTAAACATAATGAAATATTTTAGAAATCATTTAGGAATATCCTTACCATATGCAGCTCCTAAATAGCATGAATTGATATCCTACAGATATGACAATAGACAACAACTTATTTAACTAAGTTGAAAAGTAAGTCAAGAAAAAAGGTGAAGAGAAAAATTTAATGTTTGCCATCTGTGAGTTTTCATAATTCATTCGAGTTCAAAATTAAAAAAGCATTTATTCAACTGCAACAAATAAATGAGAACAGCTTCTAAAATGTGATAAATGTAGCTTCAATAAAACAGTGCTCCAACACGAGACTTATGGTTTGTTATTTTGTAAGGGAAATTTGTTTTTCGTCTCGTGTTCTTCGATTTGTTTGTTCGATCGAGGGTATTACGCCTTATCGAGTGTCATGAGGTGTAGTACTCAGTAAACAATAATTTCTGTGTTTAAATTTTTAACAACTCATAAACAAATATATCATTACTGAGAATTATCCATGCATTAATAGGCAGGTATGTTTCTTTTAGACCTTTTATCTCAGCTCGTGTGCATCGCAGGGAAAATCTATACATACTGTTAGAAATATATTTTCCTGTAGATGCGTAGAATCTCTTTATGGATTAAAATATGCTGAAAAATAAGGACAAAAATTAATTTAAATAACAAAAAATAATATCGCCATTATAGAATATAGGTTGCCATGCTGAGGACGAAATAACAACAAAATGAATACAGAAAATCAAAACAAATGGAAGAAATTCCAATCACATGGATTATTTACAGTGTGAGGTGAAAATAGGGAAGTCCATTACATATTTCTTTTTTCAAATTTTCTACCACTGAACGATCTCTTTTTGGTTAACAACAAATATACACTTTATTGATTACATCTGGAGAAAGAGACTGTGTTACAAGTCATTAGTAAGAAGATTCAATCTATCAAGGTGGAAAAAAGACAAAGATACCTATGGTTGTTATAAAATTACCTCCACGCAATGAATCATATTCCAAATTATTTTTTTTTTTCGATCTAAGAACAGAGATTCTATAATAATATTACTAATCGTGTTTATGCACTTGAAGAAATTACTTACGTATATGTCTAGTGTTTTTCTCAATGTAGAGTTTACGTATTCATCTAGTATATCACTTTAGATATAGATTTTTCAATATTATTAGCGATGAAGTTTGTTGTAATATGCTAAGGTGACCAACCTACGAGAAAGGAAAGTTTACTCAGCCTATATTCAAAATCCACCTACCTTTTCACTGTGTTTAGTTTTTAAGAAAGTATCCATGATAAATGAGGTAATTGTAATAATAGGTTTTGTGTGTTTTAAAAGCCTAAGGCTCTCCGCCTATCTCGCCACTTCATTCTCTTTATCCATTATTCACAAACTAAACTTTCCTCCGCTGTTTCACCCACATTGTGCTTGAGATCCTTGAACTTAAACTTTGTGAGCTCACAATATAACAATAAACCTGTGACTAGTAAGTCTGGCACCTCCATAGCTTGTGGTTTTATAAATCCAACAGTCTGCAATAGGTGTTAAGTAAATTAAGTATGAAAGTGTACAAAATGTAAAGAGTTTTTCAAGAAGTTTGAAATGGACTAAGCCTCTTTATTGAGGTGAACTTGATGAAGGGTTATACTCCTACGGTTGTTCTGTGATGGGAAACGCGCGACGCGGACGTGCCAGAGCGAATATTCCTTGGGCCTTTTTCACACAAAAATTGAAAATTCTCTGAAATGTAATTTGGAGTTCCAATATTGATGGCTGGATGAGTGATTGAACGTAATTGTTTCGTATTACGTAAGAAATTGAAAACATCCCCTCAATTTATAGATATACTATTTTTTTTACTTTTCACCTTTTTTATAGAAATGGCCTATACGTGTTTTGAGATTGAGTTGCATTCACCTACATGCTACATGCACCTACATGCATTGGTCTACATCTGAACGAATATTTTCAAACTCCAATAAAATCCAGGCCCTATAATATCTTCTACGTATTCTTTGATCAATGGTTACCTAAATCTTGTTATCTTTGTACTCTTTTTAGGTCGTATATTGGCTTTTTTATAAATATATACTACGATTATTTGTTTACTTTGCTATTTTGTAACCACCTAGGCAACAGAACAGACAAGTATAATGTTAAATATTGTAAAAATTCTATATTTTTAAATTGCTTAGTCATTGTCAAATTTAATTTTTTTTCAGCCACTTTGCTGATTGTCAAAACAACCTTGTTAAATATTTCAGAAATGTGTTAATCGAAATTTTTGGGGGTTATAAAATATTGTATTGAAGTCTAAAACAAAATACTTCACTTAAATCCGCTCAGTAAGATCTTTTCCAATTTTTTGGTCAATTGTACAAATTTTGGAGTAACTGAACTTGCTATGTATGACACTTTTAATAACTTGCCCCAAAGAAAATTGTGCTGAAAAAATATGATTTTTATTTCAAAGAAGAGTGTTTAACAGATATAAATTCCTTGCTGGGGAGTGTGCTAAGGAAACAGTTCACTTCCTTATCTAATATTAACTGGACCATAACTCCTTGAGTATTGTTTTATTAAGTCTTTCGTTTTATAGGGCAGTAAAATGTTTTCTTACTTCTGCACAACCAACTTTGCGACTCAACACTTGACGTATGCTTTTACATTTGTTTTATTGTAAATAAGTGTACGTTTTAATTATTTTTCCTGAACTAGTATAATTGGAATATAACCTCTGTAACAAGTTGTCAAGGTATTTAGTACGACATCCAATCAATGACATAAAGACATCATTTTGGAATGGGAAATCTATATATATACATAATACGTATTTGTACAGACATCACATTAAAATAAATGGATATGCATAAGCTGTATGAATTTATTGTTTTTATTTTTTGTTTGTGCTTTACGTTTTCCTAAGTTAACCCTTGGTTTCTGCTACAGAAATGATTGCAAATTCATGAACCGATGATATATTAATAGAAAATTAACAGTGCGATACATTTTAGGTTTGTTTCTATAATCAATGATAGGTGTATACAAGTTTTTACAGTAGATTTAAAGAACCACGGTATTGTTTGGTGCATCCTTATACTGTTACAGAGCACGGGCAGAGCAACTAGTTTAACTAATGGTTTTCAAGATCGGGTTTCTTTCATAAAAATATAAACAGAGTACTTTAATCTATTAACTTGAGAATGTAAATCCCAAAATAGACGATTTTAATTAGTTAATCGTAAATCGAGTACATAAAACCTATAAAACCCAACCGAATTAAAAAACCACTAGAACTTGATATGTACGTGTTAAAACAAAATTCCGGACCCTTAGTTACAAGTGATTACAATCAAACAACGAATTAAAAAATTCATAAAATGTTTACAATAAAAGTTGTTTTTTATAGTAAAAAAGTGTAATATAAAAGTAGTTTTATAATTTTACATTATTATAGATCATCCGACCTATAACATATTATTATAGATACTGTAATACAATCTATAATAATCTATATTATTAATACGCTAAATAAAACTTTGAAAACAATAAGGCATTTTGTTTTAAGATTTAACCCCACATATTATATACACCAAGATTTTCGTCTAGGTGTGTGGATTTGCAAACTGACCTTACTTGGTTGAAATGAAATATTAACTATTTGAATTTGGGTTGGGTATATTACAATGGAAAAAAGAGAGAAAGCCTTGATAATTTGATATACTAAAAAGAAAACTGAATTATAAATCTGCTGCATTTCTTGATCAATCATTGAAAGAGCCGATTTGAAAGCTATGGAAACATAAAAAAGTCAGAGAACACCACCAAGTTGAAGAAATAGAAAAAATGTTATTTTTTTATATAATCGTTATTATGGAAAACCTAATGTGGCTATAATACATTTGTAGAAAACACTAAAAGACGGGATCAGCTTTATAAAATGATCAGATATTTACAAGAAATGTTGATTATATCGAACTCTTATGTACTAACTTCTTATTTAATACTTCGCAATTGCTCGAATTCGAACAACATGTACACTAGTATAAAATTATAAAACAACTGCTGTTAACTTTCTTTGTTCAACACCTGATTCCTGAAATTCTGATATTGGTTTTGCTATCTCTGCTACAAAAAGTTTACTTTTTACTAGCGTAAACAATCAGCCAAATGACATTGTGTTGCCATGGTAACAGATGGCGCTGATGTGTCGCCCCACTTACCCACTTACCTTACACAATGCCATGTTTCCAGCCCTGAAGTTAGCGCTAATTCAACTCATGTTCTTTGTCGTACTTACTTCAGCAGCTTTTAGTTTTAAAAGATGATTGATAAATTATAAAATGATGAATATAATGATTTAGACATACTATATGAGCTAAATAGGGTAAAATAATTTATTTTGTTATACAGGTTAAATTTGTGCACCTAGGTTAAAGGCATTCAACTGATTAACCTAAATAAATTATTTTACTATCATTGAAAACATTTATATATAATTAACAAGAGCTTGAACCGATCCATCGCCTAAACACATCAACAAAATTCCAGTTTCATTGAAAATACAACACGATTTGGTAAAAACTATAAAAATAACTTTTTTAACAAAATATGCGTAAAATCAATCATATTTCACAGATCAAAACAAGAGGACAAAAATGACTTCCACGAAAGAGTTATCAAGCTTAAATCAAATTGAAGTTTTAATACGCCTCCAAAAGATTACTTATACATGTAAAGCAGTCTCAAAAAAACCTTCCAAACAAGTGTGAGAAACCTGTTGCTGGCACACCCATTGTTCTCAGTCCAGGAGTTTTATAAAATCCCAAGTAATATTGTAAGTAGCTTTTTTAAGACTTGAGTGATGTTTGCAGTTTGCTTTTATTTATTTGGGTTTGTAGTTAGCTGCATGGTTTTGTCTGCATGGTGTGCTTTGTTAAGATGCAAACTGTATTTGTTTCTGTACTTTTTCTTTTCAAAGAGTCAGATTCTTGAGCTACCTGACATTCGAGCAAATGTGAGTATATAAGCCTATTTTGCGTGCTGTGTTTGCTTGGTTTTTCTTAGGTTAAGTTTTTGCATAATGATTGTATATATTGACAATTGTATTTTTTGTTGACGATGCCCATTGCATTTGTACAATGCTTAAAGGAAAAAAAATAAATTCATTTCATTTCATTTCATTTCATCTTACAATATTTGAAAGCGTATCTAGAATTTTCATAATTATATTGAAATAATCAAGGCATTAATAACAAATTACTTATACTTTGTTACTAAGATATTGACAATGTTTCACTAAGTATTTTAATAAACGTTATTTTCTTAAATTGCATTTTTTTGTTACTGTGGGTTCATATTTTAAACTGACATTCATATAATTTGCCGTAAATTTTATTTTAGATTCTCATTACAATTTTTCCAATTTCCCAGCCTTACTAACAAAGAATCTTCCATTTATTCTATTCTTTGACTATTCAAGATGGGATTTAAAATTTCAAAGGCATCTATAAACATTAAATTTAATTAAACACTATGATATCTAGAGACTATTTTGTCCAAACCTTTGGCGAAAGTGTAAAAACAAGGGGAAAACAAACAAATAACATTAGGTTGCCATGGTAACTAGATAAATGTCAGGAATATACAAAGCTACACTTTCTTTAACACTGTTTCACTTTTACGGTTATTATATAAGGTTTTATATTCAAATTGCCATTATCATACTGATATGGAAATTTTAAATTCAAGGAAAATTAGTATGTGAAAATCCGAAAAAGTTGTTTATGATTAATGATTTTTCCAATATTTATAATTTTAAATAGGCCAACTCTGTTTTAAGTAGGCCTGTTTCAACCAGGACAATAATTTATTTTTATAAACTTAATAATTATTTGGTTCAAATACTTAGTTGCTAATAGTTAAAACACCAAATAAACCTTTGAGAAAATCTTCAATTTAACTCTAAGTCTGAAAACTGAAGCAGAAGTTTGTAACTTTATCAACAACTCATCTGTCATTGGGCTATAAATTAATCATGCTATCGAAATCAGACTTTAGATAGCCTTTTAAAAACTGGATAAATTTAAATGATGTAGATAAACATAAATATATAAAATATAAACATAAAGAAACCTATTTTGATTTGCACAACAAGATGCGAAGCAAACTCAAATAAGTAACAACAAATTAATTTTTTTCTTAATGATGAATTCTGTCATAATTTATGTTATATAATAAAATACAATAATATTATACGTACTCGTAATATGCAATATTTACATATAATCGTCATACTGTTTTGACTTTTCTCTCAAATCATTACATTTTCGAAATACAATTACATGAAAATACAATGTTTGATACATTCATCAATAACTATGTAATAAATATAAATGTATAAGAAAAAATTTAATAAAAACTTAAAATTAAAAACAAATTAAAAAAATAATAAAATAAAAAACAAATAAATTGTGACGTGCAATAAATAATACAATATATAACTAGTGAATAAATAAATATACACAAAATGTCTACAGTAAGTGGTTTGAGAAATTTTGGGATTATTTAGGATTGAAGTGAAGTTAATGTTTTGAGCAAGTTACAGGAAAATTCCTGTTGTTTGTGTTTTTCTCTAAATGGGCCAGCAATCAGTAATAGCAAATGAACTAATCCTATAACTAAACAACTCATTAAACACCAGTCATTTGGACTGTTAAGTTCTCTTTAACGGATTGTCAATTTACACAAATGACTTTTATTACAATGGTTTGATGACAAAACTATCAACTTACTTTTTCATTTCTGGTTCTTTATCGCTACCGTCTCTGTAACAAACAAAATATTGTTAGTATATTAATATTATTATTGCATATTGTAGTATATTATAGTTTATCAGTATATTAAAAATCAAATATATATTATATTAAAAATAAAAATTTCCATAAATTAATTAGGAAAGATAGAATAGGCTAGATATAGATAATTTGATGACTTCTGAATTTAACCTATCATTTAGATTTTGCATCAAATACATGGTAGTATATTCTTTGTCTGTGTTCGATATTATGTTGGTATACAAATGAGTAATTGAGCTTGTTAAGTTATGAGCACCGTTTTCCATATATTAATTATTAACTAACTGATCTCTTTCCATCACTCTTAAACTGGCCTCTATTCTGTCAGGTATCTCCAAAATTTAGTTGACAAACAGTTTTAAGATGGCTGTATATAGGTTAATTATGTAACATGGAATATTAAAATTGGGGAAGATAAATAATAATGCAAACATTTTATTTATCCTAATCAATACTTTATCCTAAACAATATAATTAAATAATTTTATGTTAACAGATATGATTATAGTATCTATACAAATGAAGAAATTGTATTTATGATTAGGTGTGTTTAAGTAATAACAAATTTAGAAAAGATCTTTCCTTTTGTTTACAAATCATATACAGTAACACAGCGTAATTTTTACACCAATAGACTTAACATTACTAAGTTTATTGTCTCCACGTATTTTACAAATTGGCATATTTAACTCGGGCTTTCTGCAAGTTTTCAGTAGGTCAACACATAATTTAACAAAGTGGTAGGAAACTAGGGTAAAAACAGGTTACGCTGTCAGCATGAACATGGTTTCGGCATTAGAAGGTTAATCTTGTCTTGTTTTTACTTTGGTGAGCTGGAAGATTGTGTATGCACACAAAATATTGGTACTAATCTGTGTAAACAAAATATTAATGTAAGTTGTCAAATAGCTTTAAGTAAATCGGAACGAATAGCTTTTGATCAAATTATAAGTAATCTAAAATGCCTTTGAGATTTGTCATGAAACTTAAAATTTAGTATCCTTAGAGACATGTTGGTGATACATATTAGTACACATTAGAGACATATGTATTGTTTTCTCTTGACTTTACATAATGTAAAAACACTACGATATTCAAACAAAACATGAACATAACACATAAACAAATTATATATGGTAAATTAACGATATCTGGTTGTAGCAACGGGTTCAAGTTCGGCCAATCACCATTGGATTTTAGCTATGTGCTAGTCCCACGACCCTCAGAGAATAAGGCAATGAGTAAAACGGCCCAGGACTGGAATCAAACGTCCTCGGATGTTATGTTACGTTGAAATTATACTTAGCCACTTTAGAAAACTACATAAAATTCTATAACGACCCCTTATCTCAGATTATAATATATTTGCAAATAATTGTAAAGCTAACATGTTATGTCTTTTGTTATATGTATATATTCTAGAACCAATACAGTGTCATAAAAACAACTACAAAGTTTTGAATACAAAATATTTCTTAAAATGTTGTTGTTTTAATCAAAAAATAGAAATGTTAATCATTGTCATTATACTCACAAGATTTATGTTATGCTAAGTAATAACTAAACTTGAACAACAAGCTGTGAATTCTGTCATAACATTGTTAACAAGATTAGAGGTTATGAGACCAGAATTGTTAATTACTCCTTGTTTATCTCAGCACATAACCTTATAGTGTACTAACTAAAATGAATTATTTATTCCTACAGGGTTTAAAAGATTATTTTTAATAATATTGGCCATGTTAAAATTATCAATGATGAATATTGTCGATAACACTTAAAATCATTGTGTCAGTAGTACCATTTTTAAAATTTGGTGGACTTAACAACTTGAATTTAATTAATTATTTTAGCTGCTATCAGTTGACTTGCACAAAGATGGTTAGTTTCTGAAAGCATATAACTAAAAAACAACTTTAAATTCCTCTGGATGAGGTGTAAGCTTTAATACACAGTACATGGAAAACACCATATTACTCTTTTTTATATGTGCTATCTTTGAATAAGATGTTAGCAAAATTAATTTCAAAGAAAAAAATAAGGTGCATTAGTTTATTGTAGTTGATTATAAAAAGATGTTTGAAGTGTAAGTTGATTAGGAAACTTAAAGTTCGCAACGTCTTATTTTTAGTTTAATTTTTGGTTCAACAATGTTATAATATTTGTGTAGATTGTAAATAATTGAATTTGACTATATCTTTACTTAGTTTCGTAGTTAATTAATTACCTATAAGCGTTTAGCAATAGGTATATCGTTGCAATATGATATTATAATTCTAGTTCTAATCTGCTTGTTATTATTGTTATTCATAAGACTGAATTATTGCCTGTATCATAAATGTATTTATTATTACTGTATAAATGGCGTTTACCGTTGAAATAAATGAAATGACAAGAATAATGTGCTGTACTCTAAACAATTTTTATGGGTCTATTTTATTTCGGATACATTAAGTTGTATTAAGCTGTATTTATTAATCCCATGATAATAACTTTGATTGATGTTATTCTTCGTTCAGGCATAAGCCTTCTTTATTTAGACAATTTAGGATTCCCTAATTTATTGATAAGGAACAGGAAAAAAATATTGGCCTGCATCTGTTTTAATAAACGTGTTATAACTACTGACTTGTTTTATAATCCATTTATTACAAAATATTGGTTTTTATTTTCCAAGTACATTTGACTCTTCTACCCAAACAGTTTTCATAATGTTGTTAGCAAATTAAATGTATCTTCAGTGAAATACCAGCTTTCATCTGAGTTATTATTGATTATTATGATGGGATGTAGGCCTACCTGAAGCACTCACTATGAACCCCAGTTGTTAGCAAATATTGAGTAATTTATCATCGATTGATAGTTAAATAATTTTGCTTGAAAACTCAACACTAACCATCGATTTTGACGGGTTCGACCTATTTACATGCAATATATTATTATACAATTATTTATTAAAGTAAACAACTACTAATTATTTGAATTACACCTTGGTCTGTGAGAGAGGAATTTCATATCTATAACACTAAGCCTTGCTTGACTCTGTGGGGCTTCTTGTCTTGTTAAGACTACAATCCGTTGTAAACAAGATAAGACTATTGTTCACGACTCTCTTTCAAAAAGTAATGAGACTTTGTTGTGTAAAAATATATAGTTACACAATTGTTGTTAATTGGGATAGTTTCTAAAAGATATTACAAGTTTCGTGTTTGATGATACGTGTTAAAAACTTAGAAATGAAAACACGTCATTGAAAACTATGCCTAGCTTGTTTTTCCTTACATATATTTTGTGTAGTCAGATTGATTTCATATTTTTGTTTAGATATGTTCATGACTAAAGATAAAAGTACAGGTATTGAACAAACTTATGACTATCATTTATTAACGTTGTACTGGTTTATGTACGTATGTATGTAACTAATTCCTTTTTGTACAAGTTGATTACTGAATGAATTTAGTAAAAAAAATGCAAATCAAAATTAAATACAATATTAAATTTTTTAATTATCACAAATATTTATACAAAATGTTATATATTTATTGATACAAATATAAAAAAAAAACTTTTAATAACTTTATTTCTGATTGAATGCAAATTTGATATTTGACCGTTAAATTTTACCTTTAAAGGGTATTTTGTATATTGCAATAGTATCCTGATATGACTTCAAACTACAGACAGTTGTTTATATTTTTTTAGATATTTATTTAAAGAACACACCATATTGTGTTGTTAGAAAAGAGAAAATTACAAAATAATTCATTTGATAAACTGGTAAATAAATCACCCACTAATTTAACCCAATCAATATTTTGACGCCATAAAAACGACACGATACAGGATTGTCTAAAGTTTATAAAGAAAAACCTGATTGATTAGAGACACAGTAGCTTTAACTTTTAACGTAATCTCTTTTCTAAGTGCTTTGTCAATGTTAACGTTTTCAAAGTGATGAACCCTTTAAACATTTCATGATGAAACTTAAAGGATAAAGTTTGGGACAGAGATTGAATATTGCAGGTAACTCTACATAACTAGATAAATTATTGATAAGGAAAGATAAATGTAATTATGTGATAATTAGAAACTACGAAAAAAGAGTTTACTACAGTTTAATGTTTACGAAAATATAATTGGTGTACGTGTGATTTTTTTTAAATTGTTCCAAGTGAATTTTAATCCATTGTTTTGTCCTAAACTACCGTCCAAAATCTATTTTACCAGCTTTTGATAAGTAAGTTATTGGAGCAATATACTGCAAATAATTTGACTGTTCACCTAGAAAGATTTAAAAATACGAGTATGCCACCATGGGGGGGCGTATATCAGAGGAAGAAATTAACAAACTAGCTACTTTTAGATTTTACAGATGTCGTAATGAGCCCCTTTGCAAAGGAAAAGAGCTCAAGTAAGGCGTTTGATAATTTAAAGCATGGCATGATTAATTGCAATGGCTATGTATAATGTACGCAGCAAGTTGACAAATTCAAGACTAATTTCTTAGCTATATAAAAAATATTAAATTATTGGTATGAATTTAAAGTACAAAGTGAGAGGAACAAAATCTTGAGGAACGGAGCACCCCAAGGTAGTTTATTAGGGCCTTTTTATACCTGTTGATTGATATTCTCGATCTAAAATATTACAATGAAGTATATGTATGTAGATTACGCTGAACTTATATTATCTCATGACATTCAAGAATCTGACAGAAAATGCAGAAAGATTTCTTAAGTTTAACCATGTGGTGACGTGTCAAAGGTCTAGCAAGAAATGCTAATAAATTAAAACTGAAGGTCTAGCAAGAAATGCTAATAAATTAAAACTGAAGGTCTAGCAAGAAATGCTAATAAATTAAAACTGAAGGTCTAGCAAGAAATGCTAATAAATTAAAACTGAAGGTCTAGCAAGAAATGCTAATAAATTAAAACTGAAGGTCTAGCAAGAAATGCTAATAAATTAAAACTGAAGGTCTAGCAAGAAATGCTAATAAATTAAAACTGAAGGTCTAGCAAGAAATGCTAATAAATTAAAACTGAAGGTCTAGCAAGAAATGCTAATAAATTAAAACTGATTTACATACTTGTACTGTCATATAAATACTCAAAAAATAATATAGAATTTAATTTCATGACTGCTTGCAATACAAATAATACAAAAAAGGTGCACGCGTGCAACAGAATGTAATCAAGTACAATTAATTTAGGCTTGAAAGTACACTACAAAATAAAATAAGATTTGAAAATTAAATCTTTCGTTATTGCATGCCATCTCAAACAATAGTTTATTGTAAAATAACTAAGTTTGAATACGAAATCGTTGTGTATTTATTGCAAACTGGTTCTTGAATGTTGAAATGTAAAATAAAATAAAAAACAATAAAAAACATTTTACGAGTTTGTGCAGCGATATTTTTCTATTTTAAATATTTTACCTGAAAATCATATATTCAGGAATGTGTGGGTCAGTGGTTGGATATGGCTTACGATCATGGGGATCTGAATCACCCATAATAACCAGCTATAAACCAACCAAGAACTGTACAAAACAGCATAACAAAATGATAACTATGTTCCGTCAAAAAATCCTCTCCTATAAATTACTGTCCAGGCTTTACCTTAAGTTAATGTTTTGAGTAAATGATTATACCAGATAACTATTTCACAATTGGACGTAACAGACACAATTTTATGGAAATGATCCACAAAAAATGTTTTATTTTATCCATAGAAACACATTAAAAAAAGAGTTGACAAGTGTTCAATTTCACTGGGTTGAGAATATCATATTCATAACACTAAGCCTAGCTTGTATATGTAGGTTTTCTTACCTTGTTAAGACGACAGCTCGTTGTAAACAAGATCAAGAGATAAGACTATTGTTCAAGACATTCATTCAAAAAATAATGAGGCTTTGTCACATTGAAAAAACTTACCTACGTCATAATTGTTCGCGTTGTGTATGTAAACAAAACAGGGTTGCAAATTTCAAAGAGATTTTTACTACAAGGATGACGCAGGTACTGCTATTGTAAAATATATTGCTTGAAAAGGTTCTTTGTGACGATGGAGCACTGTAATACAAAAATCCGGGTAGGTTTTTAGAGACAATCCTTTTGATCGTTTGTTCCAATATAAATAACAATTCGAGTTATCTTGTCAAATAAGAATTTAGTCAATTATTATTCAATGTCACTTTGAAGAATACGTTTTTAATTGATTTTAGCCCTTTTAACTACATCGTAGGCCAATTTAGAACTTATTTTGTAACTTTTCTTTATAACTTAATTTTGTTCCTTTTATAACTTCTAAATTTAATACAAATTTCTAACCATTTTAGAACCTGGTGTCTTATATATTACCCAATAACATCAGTGATATTTCAGAACATATCTCTGTAGCCATCGAGATTTATTCTTATTATTTCTATTTTTACCTTAACTATTGAACGGATAAGACGTTGAACTGTAAAGCAAGTTTATGATTTCGACATAACTACACGAAAAACTTATAAGCAAAAGATTTCCGATGATTCTTCTGAAGAAATCGATTCTGTGTTTTTTGATACAATTACTATACAATAATGATCCCTGACTATCGTTATGAATACATCTCTCACTGTATCAAACTTAAAAAAATCTTAAATCAATACCTATCATGAAGCTTTTTGTATTTCAGGACGGCTTCCTAAATCAAATAAATCGACCTATAGCCAAGACTTCCAATATGAAAATACAAAGGTGATAAGGTAATGTACAACTTTAATTCATTAGTGTATAATTTTTTTTATGCTATAAAATAATACATTAGATTTAGTTTTGGAAGTAATGTCTTAACTTTTGAAAATCATTACTTATATGCTTTAATTAGTTTAAATCATTTTAATTTTTATGAACAAATGTTTAAGTTTTAGACTTTTTTTATAGTAAGCCTTTAGGTCATAAACTGCATTAAGGTTTTTTTTCTAAAAACTACATTATAAATAAATTTCCAATTCTATTGTTTAGTTATTTAAAGTATCTTTTTACAATAACTAATTTTAACATAACTCTATTGCAACGAACTATGTGAAAAATCAAGTTATATTAATGAAAAGTTACTTCCTAGACGTATGTACGTATCAGATTTATTAATAAATATGAAAACTTCAGTGCAGTATAAAATATTAAGCAAGCTTTTAATTTTTCTGAACTCTAGCATTTTTATCGGATTTATAATACTATCAATAAATTGAGTGACTTTTGGTCACGTGGTTACTTATTTAAACAGTGTAATGTAAGAGATATTTTTATTAATATTTTTTTACGATAATTACAAATTATATTTGATTATGAATCGTAAAGCTACATAAATGGAAAATAAATATTATTCTACAGCTTATATAGCAAATATTAGATTAATTAGCAAATATCCGCTCCCCACTCCTATATTTTGCTATTGAGTAAAATTTTACAGCTTAATAATATGAGGTCTTTGTTCTAGTTAATTGTTACCATACAAACTAAACCCACAAACCTAACAACTTTTTATTCCATTTATAAAATGGTCTAGTACATTATTCATACAACTAAGACCTGTTTTGTTAAAATAAATATTTCCTAGGTAAAGGCATATCTACACAGAAAACCAAAAGTGCGAAATTTCTTAAATAATTTTATTTAAATCCATAAGGTACTACACCAGGTTTTATTTTTATATAATGCAAAATAAATTCACTCGATTTAAAAGGTTTTTTGTAAAGTTGTTATAAAAAATGACAAGTTTTCACCTACATATTTTAGATATTTTAACCCCTATTTAAAAATTAATTTAATCCAACGCCTAAATAGATATACTCAAAACTCAGGGTCAAATAAAATATAAGTCATGAGAATATAAAGTGCTGAAATAAAATTTCTTACAAAAAATTGTTTACCTAGAGCAATGTTAGGTACAATTAAAATTTAATTTTATGAAACAAAATCTATAACCTATTTTTATTCTTGGATATTTAGCAATTTAGGATTGGAAATTTAGGAAGAGATTGTTGTATCATACCTAATTATTTAGTCCTATTTTGTATCAACTATTATAGACACTAATTTTCTGTAAAACAATAATGCATTCACAATCAATCCTAATACAGTTCTTAATTTACATTCGAATTGTTAAAAGTGTTTAAACAGTAAAATAAATGCATACATAATCAGTAGCAGTTAAAAATCTGTTTTTAATGTTTCTTAAATAACTGTAATTAAACAGACGGTTTTATCAATTTTAATATTGATCAAGCCATTAAAGTGGATCAATAAATTGAGGACCAAATATTATCTATAAAATATATTCTTCAAAATAATGTAGGTCAGTAAAATGTACAAGTAAAGATTTCTGATTATAAAAACTCAGAGTACTGAGTAAAACATTCGTTGAGTAATATACTTGGTGCACTGAGGTCACAAGAAATAAGACAGGGACCTGAGCTGGGGTAAGTAACGAGCAGAGCCGTGCACCAGGCCACCTGTAGATCATTGGGCCCAGACCTGTTCGAGTGCAACCCCCACTCCTAAAAATGTTTTTTTAAACAACTTCCCCCTTCCCCATAACATTGCCTATTAAATCCCCAACTTTTCAAAACCATGACCTAATTCACACAAACAAAAAGTACGTGTACAAAAAAAAATTAATCAACGCGACGTTTCAAAAAAATATTTTTGTTTTCGTGCATTGTATTGACTGGTGCGAGTTTGGTGTGCCACAGGGGTCAGTGTTGGGTGCATTGCTGTTTATACCTGTAGACAGTATCCTAGACTGCGACGCTGTTGTTATGAACTTCACGGCCACTCGCGGGCTACTGGCGCCGGCGTCGAGACGTCGCAGCAACACACCTACGCGCAGGTGCGACCAGACGTCGATCGTGAATGGTATGACGACCTGTATTGTATACCACCCCCTGTATAACCTGTTGTCTGCAAAACGTTAACCTGTTGTTTGCAACAGGTTTGAATGGTTGTGAAATGTTAGATTAATAACGGATTTGTGTCTGTTATTAAATTACTATATACAAATACTAATAAATTTCATAGTAGAGGTAGTTGCATTCAAATGTACTTAGTCGTCTCTCACCTGCTCTAATGTTGTGTGTATAATAAATATTGAATGGATCCGAGGTAGTGCTGAAAATAAAACTTCGTCTTCCGCTAGAAACGTTGTAATATTGACTAGGGCATCTCTGATAGTATGAAAAATATATATTGCCACCTGCATTCTGATGTATTTTTGTATCTACTAAATATTTAATTTGTACGCTCAGAAGGTACAAAATAATATATCTCGTGCTATTCTATCAATCGTTCCGTTGTGAGTATCTCAAAGGCATGTTCAATATAACTAAATATACCATGTTTCTAGGATTATTTGGGTAATACAATAATGATACTGTTTCTTCTAAATATAAAAAAACTCGCTTGCTCCTTTTAAAATATGCATTTTAACCTGTCCTCTTTTTTGATTATTCATATCTACCAAATGAATAAATAGTACCCGCAGTTGTGCTAAATATATACCTATATTCTGGTGAACTTGTTATTATGTATCTAATAAATATTTAAATTTTACAACTGATAGAACAGAAAATATACTACGCAGCCTGTCTCGTTGTAGTGTAGTTGTATATTTACTATATATTTAAATAGTACCAGAAGTAAAGCTAAAAAAAGCTTGGTAGCCATCATCTGTTTAAACTGCTGTGTAATTGCACCTTCAGTATCACTAAGCAATTAATTAAATCTCGGAGCTGCTATAGTATTATAGTATTATTAGTAATTCAGTTTCTCAAATGAGCCTTTAAAAATCCCTGATATCATTTAAATACAACCTCTGACTATATACTTGCCAGTTGTATTGTGTATCCATTAAAGAAATAAGTATACCAATTACCTAACATAAAATACACAAGCTGTAAATTGTCCGTTATTTTGTGTATGGTGTTAATATTTTTTTATCCCCCTACATTTTTGGCAATGTTTTAATAATTAGCAGTTAGGTAGTTTTTAATAGGGTCAGTCCAACTTTTTGTTGAAATAAGAAGATGGAGACATCGTTTAACCTTGTATTTGCCCGTCCACATAAGCGTTAGGCCTGTACGTGGATCGTATGCAACAAAGCAAGGTACAGTACGACAGTGTACTGTACTGATAACAGTAGCGGACATCACAATAACACCACGTCATAATTTCTGCGAAATAGATGTCCGTCACGCCACTGACTTACAAAATTACAATACATTACTAAAATTGCTGAATATTTTGCTACATCATATAATGTTTTAACATGGATCATAGGTTCGGTAGCAGCAAAATTCACCTATTAGTCTCTATGGCCTAAATAAAGTGATAGTTTGGGGACAATGATACAATATCACTGTATTTTGTTACATTGATGTGATTCCTCTAAATAGTAAACTAAATTATCCCTTGTAAATTGTTTTCTGATAAATATTGAGTTTAGAAGAATATTTATTGATATGTACTGATAAAACTAAATACAAAAGCTGCACACGTATATAGCTGCAAAGTACAGGGTTATTACAAATGATGTTCATGATTTCATACATACATAAAGTATAGTTTTATTTGTTATACAAAGAAATAAAATAGTTACAACTTTTGAAAAACTCAAAAAGTTTCGACACAGATACACAAAACTGTAAATGCTCGATACGGGAACCCCTTGTGGTACGACAGATGTCAATAATGTAGTCAAGCTCTTGCTAAACTTTGAAAAGTATGTCTAGGTCTATTGTTTCGATTGCATTGGTAATCCGTTCCTGGATCTCAAATATGCTATCTGATTATGATGGTGTGTACGCCTTATCTTTGATGTATCCCCTCAAGAAAAAAATTAGGGGGTGATGTCCGGAGATCTTGTAGGCCAGTTCATGGGTGTGTCATTATTCGGACCACCGAGCTCGTTCCATATCTCAGGCAGCACATTGTTAAGTTCAGCCCTACTAAAAGTAACATTCAAATGCAGCCATTTCTCTTAAATTGCAAGTGTCAATTTCCAATACAGTGGTTACTAGGAGGATAATCGTTAAACCTGGTTCTAAAGTGTCGTTGCACACCAATAACAGATTGGTTAATGTAATATTCCAACTGGCAAAAAGCTTTCCTGCCTTCAAATTCAGCCATTACACAACACTTACAACGATTGACTTGACAAACGGCTGATATGCACCCAAACCAATGTAAATGAAACTTTATGAGTTTTTCTTTCCAATGGTACCAACTAAAATAGTCTTGAAACAAATTAACCCAGTAATATTTGTAATAAAAATCAGGAACATAATTTGTAATAACCCTGTATATGAACACATTAATTAGTTTACTATTCTGTAATGAGTTTCTATACATCCAATAGCTATGTATACAAACTAAATATCTGTATGTATGAAAAATCCAAACGAAATATACTTGTAACATGATGTTTTAACTCTGTACTGATAGTATGTAATGTTTGCGACAGATTTTAAACGGGCAAGGTTCTATAGTTTTAGTAGGTAACCTCAATTAATTACACTGTTGTGTAATCATTATGTGTTCGATTAGTTTACCATTCTGAACTGTGTGTCTAGTAAATATGTGTCCAGTACATACCTAGCCCGCTAGATATGTGACGTAGGTTAAATGTAATTTAGACAGTAAAAATTTTGGTTTGGAAGAGAATTTGTATTACAAATTTAATGGCAATAGTGTTCCAGTTACAGAATACTGTAGTTGCATGGTTTTGTGATGATATAACGATTTGATTAATTCGCTGTCAAAAGCTATGCCTATATACTCAAAATTTTATCAAGTAAGAAGTTAAATACGCAATACATAATTTAAGACAGTAATAACAAATTACAAATTGATAAACAATAATTGGTTGGTAATATAAAAAATGTTAGTGTTAAAGATCAATTTGTGAACTAAGCTGTGATTTCCTTAGAAAGATTTTCAATATGTATAACAACTATTTTAAATGTTAACTATTTAGTCCCATTGAAATGAAGCAGCATTTCATGCACTCCGTCATAACCATACAAAAGCAAGTAAATAGACGCCTAAAGTTAATTCAAATTAATTGCAGCAACAACCAGTTTGGTGCCACTGTCTAACTTGAAGGCATCATTAGGGAGTTTGTGATATTGTCATTTTCAAAATATGACAATTTAGATGACTAATTAGGTTAAAAAAAGGGACGGCATAAATGTGAAAACATGTACTTGGCCAAAACATATTAACTGCAGTAACAGTATTTTATATTTTAATGGTGTTGGTATTACTGATTTAACATCATTATAATTAAAAATATTGTTATAAGGAATTGTACTGCTGCAAATATCTGAGTCAAAATGTTAAGAAATAAATATATATTTATATTCATGTTGTACCAATATTTTAAATATATTGTCCCCTTAAAACATATTTAAAATGAAATATTTGGGTTTATATGGATTTATGATTCTTAAATAGCACACTGCGTTGAAGTACTGTGTGTCAAAGTATTTTAAATTGTTTATTTTAAGAAGCAGTTCAGGAAAGGAATTAGATCTAAGAATATAAATACAATCTAACATTGAATATGCATAAAAAAATTACACAACTATAAAATATGTGTTTAATTAAATATTTTAAAATCATATTTTCCTATATAACCATAGATAAAAAATAAGACATAAACCTACCTACCTATTAAATACATAATATAACTCAGAACCCTAATGACATATGCCCATATCAATCAACCGATTCTATCATAAATGTACGTTTACCTATGAAGAATAATAAGACATTTGTTTGAAGTTTATAAGCTGAACAGTTGGATTTCTAATTTCACGCAAACAATAATTAATAGTACAAAAATTAGAGATAATCAGGGATTTGTGTAAAACTGTGTAACAGTGTGTAATGACGTCACGATGAAAGCTCCGGTCTCTGTAAAGCCTTAAAGTTTACACAGAGCCTACAAATCTGACTCTCTAAAGCTCTAAAGGAAGCGCCACTTACCTGTATTATAGGTTATGCTTTTCCTCAACACTCAACAACCCATAAATATAGTAACTTTAAAAAAGGAGGGAGAGCTTTTAGCTCTACATATACAGACGAAATTCTAAAGATTTTACTTCTAAGAATATTGATTATCCTATTAAGAACTGTAATTTAATGTGGTCCAAAGGTTACTTTTCCATATATGAGCAGACAGGTTTTATATATTTTTTACTAACTTATAGCTGTAATTAATCTTGTTTGATGATCCAGATGTTTGATGAAACATCAACCTCCACACTTGAGTGGTTTTACCGCCAAAACACTTAGAGATCGTCACACTAGATTGGCAATCCGTGTAGACGACGTTAAGCCCTTCTACAATGTGAACACATCCCAGCTGACTAGATTAAACTGTTATTGAAAATTGGATAACGTTTAAATTTACAATCTTTTTTGACCATTACTTTTTAAATGAAGACTCAAATATGTGTATTTAAACCATTAACTCGATAAGAGGTAAACTGGTGGGACACATTTTATAACAACATTGACAAATGGGCATCCATTTATGGTCGTAATAAGAACATTGGTTAAGTTTTATACTGTAAGAAAACTTGTCCAACTTATAACTGATGCATAGTAGAAAATAGTACTTTACTGATCAATCGAGTCTTGATAGTCTCGAGAAAATACTAAATACTGGAGGGCTACTAAATACTGGTCTTAGCAGTTATTGAAAAGAAGGCTTTTGAGGTTATAATGTGGTGTTGGTAATGCAGTGTTTC